AGTTTTTACACAGCATTCTAAATCCATGTCACCTCACACAGCAAGGTATTGCCTTATAAATTCTACTTAGTATTTGCAGCACAATTTTTAACTTAACGCTATTACTGATAGCTGTCATTTTTTCACTATTGTCTACTTGTATCAAAAGGAACACGATTAGTAACTGTTCAAGTGGCTGATACAAAATCCCGCCATTATCCAAGTTGGCTTTAATTAGTACCCACCTTCCATGGCGATCAGCCTAGCGTAAGTACAGCCGTGAGTGAAATTTCCCGCCAGTACTTATAAACGTAAGAACCACTGACGGGCCGTGAGGTAGGGGTAAACTTTTGAATGGGAAGGATTTGTGCAACGCCACTTGGCAGAAAGGTGGTCCAGAATGTTTGCCGGAGCATGGGCTACATTAAATTTGGCGGCACAGCCTTTATTGTATTTGCAGACGATTTTCGTGTCGACTGTGAGCTGTGCCGCCATTGGGGGCTAAAGCATAAGGACGGGGGCAAAGCAGAATTGCGCCGGGGCGTAGAGGAACGACGGGGGCGAAGCAGATTTTTGCGGGGCGAAGCAGAACGGGGCGGGGGCGAAGCAGAACGGCGGGGGCGAAGAGGAAGGAGTTTCATGGGGGTGCTAAAGCCCTGGACTTGAATCCGTACCTAAACCTAAATGTTGGTGTAGGTACACAGCACTAGTCTGAAGTTAATCAAGATCTGATGACTGTATGAGATTGAAAAGCAGACATTGATCTAACAGTAACACAAACAAGAATCCATACTTGAAGGGCAGAGCCGATGTCTCCACGTTGATGGTAAACTGTCCGTCCTCCCGACCTGTGTTTCCCTGGACACTGCCGCCAAACGTGGAGTTCAGCATCTAAACAACAAAAATCACATGTTTTAAGATTATTCCTTCAGGGTATGTACATGTAGTAACAGTGTGATAGTATCTTAGAGCAAACTGACCTTTATCCAGTTTGAAAAGTCTAAAATACTATCTTGCTGTTATCACATGTTTTGGTTTTAGGAATCATCAGTTTTGGTTGGAGTCAAACTTATAACCAGTACACTACCTTTTGGTATAAAACACCGGTCTTATGCTGCATAAGACCAGACTGCAAGGTTTGAACCACTCACACTAGAAACAACCCCAACTCTTTTTAATAAGTGTGGTGGGATCTTTAACAATAACATGGTAGAGTTGTGGCCCCTCTCAAGCTAAAGCTAGATACTCATTTTCACAAGAGTCAAGTGAGGAAAGAGGTGAAAAATGCCTTTCCCAAGGACACAACAGTGTGGCCTGTCACGGAATCGAACCCAGAACCTTCAGATTCTGTGTCAACAACCCTGGACACAAAACCACCTAGCCACCTGTCGCAATATATTAATGCGATTGTGAGGACCAGAGAAAGACTAGACAAGTATAATAAACTAAGGCTAATTGTGGCTTAAAAATAAGTCCAAGTTTGAGGACGTTATGTGGGGTCGTGTGGCGCAGCGGTAGCGCTTTCTGCTCAGGACCTAAAAGGTCCTGGGTTCGACCCCCACCCATGTCACCGATCTTGTGCCCTTGGGAAAGGCACTTTACAACACTTTCCTCACTTCACTCAGGTGTAAATGAGTACCTAGCTTCGGTTAGGGACGTCCCTCGGATAGGACGTAAAATGGAGGTCCCGTGTTTGGGGAGAGTCACACCTCGAGCACGTTAAAGATCCCACCATGCCTTTCGAAAAAGAGTAGGGGCATGCCCCTGTGTGCGATGGTACAAAATGCTATAATCTGGAGTCTTGCCAAGAATTGGCAATGCCAGAATGATCAGTATGATGATCGTGGGCATTAAAAGGAAGAGTAAGAAGAGGAGCCTACCTGCATGCCATAGCAGATGCCCAGGACAGGCAGCCCCATGGTGAAGATACCAGGATCATAGTTGGGAGCATCTTCATCATTCACACACATGGGGCCTCCTGAGATGATGATACCTCTGTGTGTGGGGAAACATATAAACAGTTGTTGACAGTGTTCTAGCCAGCGTCCGTCTTTCTACGACATCACTTTAACAGAGATTTACTGCTTATGACGGACAGAAATTTTGTCCAATTTGTCATCTTTGACAGACAAAAATCGGTATGTATAAAGTTGGAAAGATTATGTTATTAAACTAAGCTTGGTCTACTAGCAAAACTACATGTACCAGGAGGTAGCATTTCAGATGGTCAAAATTTCAAAATGTTCCCAGTGGAGAATCCCCCAGACCTCCCTAGGATTGTCACAGTTTGATGTCTTGCGCTGAATGTAGATACATTTTTGTATATCAAACAAAATTGAGATGACAACATATTTCAGGCTGGCTGGAACACCAATTTTTGGTTACTAATGACTAGCAGGGTTATACTGCCCGTCAAAAGGTTGCCAGGTCTCTGTCAGAGGGATGATGTAAAATGGCATTATTCCAGAGCTGAACAAACAAAAGGCTGACAATACTGACCTGTATCCTGCCTCCTTGATCTTGTCCGGCGAGGTATCCAGCGGGAGGATCTCCGAGTCCACACAGAGCTCACGGACCTTCCTGTCAATCACCTGGGACCAAAAGGTGCAGACAATTTCAGGCGACAATATAAACCTAGAAAAGGAACATTTGCAAAGAAAATGCAAAATGCAAATGTTCTGCTCCGTTAATTTCTACTCAAGCACATTCATATATATGGTGACAGGAGTCTAAATCCTTTCTATGATAAAAAATTGCAACATGATGTTACCCAACACTAGTTACCATGGTGACACCCCCGTATAAGTGCAGCTCCGGTCCGCACGATCCAGCTCCGGTCCGCACGGTTCAGCTCCGGAACGCACGGTCCCAGCTCCGGTCCGGACGGTCTCAGCTCCGGTCCGCACGGTCCAGCTCCGGTCCGTACGGTCCAGCTCCGGTCCGCTCAACAGCAAAATCGTCTCAAAAATGACCGAAAAAGTTACAAATATGTCCATTTTGAGATAATTAATGGACAGAATGCAAAATCTGATAGCGGAGTATTGGGTTAACATGTTTACCCATCCTCTGACCGAGTTTGACGGCCCAAGACCCGCTACTTTTCGATATAACCCCGTACCTCCCGTCTTGCCACCAGTCAGGCGTGGAGCTGGGGCCGCTATAATGACCAAAAGTTTCCATATTACGTAACACAGAGAACGCGATGTTCAGTAACTAAAGACAGATGACATGCTTGCCCATCTCCAGACAACTTTGAGGCCATCTATGACGCGGTAGTAGTAGTAGTACGGACAAAATTCTTGAAGCCTGACTAGAACGAAAGGGGGCCAGCAGTAAAACACCCACTGTGTAAAATAGAAATATATCGACTTTTAGACTGAATGATCTGGATTATGAAGTTTTTCCTGTTCTTGATGAATTTTCTATCATGTTCTTGTATAAATGTGCCGTATTACAGGCTCCGTATCATGCAATTGCAACTTTCAAAGTTAACTTTCTGGGTGAGGCAGCTGCAGTTCAGTTGACCTCCGCAAGGTGCTATTTAACTATGGGCCACAAACGAAAAAAAGTTTGTTTTTTTTTTCAGTTGTTTTATACATTATACCAAGAACTCTAAGATATTTACTTTCATTCTTTTTCACGTGCGCCCTACTACAATCTTTAAGGCAACTTGGGGCCCTTAACTATAGAAATTCCCATAGGGCAAAAACGTATTCTGCTACCTTAATCCACCACGGGAATTGACCAGGAATTGTCAACGTTGGCCATACATGTAACTGTATGGTATATCAGCAAGTAATGTTGGTTCACTTGAAATCTACCAGTTTGTTTAATTCACCGTTAGACCGCCGTTACCATAGCAACAGCTAAATTGTACCATGACCACCCCTATGCTTAGGTATGGGACTAACCCCCCTCCCCCTTTCTGTCGACACTAATTCCATATCACCAAGAACGTTAGTGTGTACTACCGACCCCCTATAACAAGAAAAGACGGCCAGAACAAGTTGACCAGATAATGAGACCACCTAATGCCCCCCCCCCCCGGACCTTGTACGAGACAGGTGCCGAAGTGAAATCTCCACTACCGTTTGGATTTGTGGAATAAAACTTGGCCAAGTTTCACATCTTGTCTAGTTCTGTCGTATAAATGACAAGAAATTCAAAGTCAAGTTTGTTTAAGGACACAGAACACATTATAGCGGCCCCAGCTCCACGCCTGACTGGTGGCAAGACGGGAGGTACGGGGTTATATCGAAAAGTAGCGGGTCTTGGGCCGTCAAACTCGGTCAGAGGATGGGTAAACATGTTAACCCAATACTCCACTATCAGATTTTGCATTCTGTCCATTAATTATCTCAAAATGGACATATTTGTAACTTTTTCGGTCATTTTTGAGACGATTTTGCTGTTGAGTGGACCGGAGCTGGACCGTACGGACCGGAGCTGGACCGTGCGGACCGGAGCTGAGACCGTCCGGACCGGAGCTGGGACCGTGCGTTCCGGAGCTGAACCGTGCGGACCGGAGCTGGATCGTGCGGACCGGAGCTGCACTTATACGGGGGTGGGTGACAGATGTCTAGATCATTGACCTTATTTGTTTGGAGAAGAAGAGGAAGAAGAAACAGAGCAAAAATAAAGTTTTCCTTTGCTAAACATACATGTAAATATTCTGGATGAGAAAAATCTGTCTCTGATATCATCATTCCATCATCATTTAATACTTCAAAGACATGCAGAACACTGACTTTTTGTTTCAAGGATTTACATGTAAATACTACTCTTCCAGCTGATCAGTAGTGCTTAAGATAATCTACTACTAGTACTAGTAATCTAGATCCAGGCATACCTTCCCATACTGGGCACCAGCGTCTAAGACAACGACTTTCTCCATGTCTTCCACCTGGCTCAAGGCATCCCCGGCGGCTGCCTGTGGGGAAGACAAGATTGAAGAATCCAACAGAGAACAGAGTATTAATGGGCAACCCCCAGGGTCTGTCATGTGGGTATCCTGTTGTGTACATCATTGAGAGCCTGAAGGGGGGGGGGGGTAGTGTTTACGAATTACGAAAAATTTTCGCCTCCAATTACGAATTACATTAAAGTCTCGGAGCTGATTACGACGTTACGGTTTGCGGCTAATGTCCTATTACAAATTACGTTGATTTTTGGGGAGGCTGCCTACGGAATACGAAGGCTAAAAAGGCCTAATTACGCCTTACGAAAAAGGGCATACAGCCAGGCCCCCTCCATAATTTTCAGAAAGTGAACAACGCCAAGGTGTAAATTGTGTCGCTTTAATATTTTGGGGTTGATACTGTATGAATTTGATTGTGACAATTTTGCAGGTTCGTTTAGGGAAAATGCCCCACATTACACAACTGACTTATAAAATATAATATCTTTGTTCCCACCCAACCTGACAACTTTAAGTTTAAGCATGGTTTAAGGCACTAAAATAATGTTTTTGATTCAGAAACAACCAACATGAACATCAGCATGATTTTAGCATACGGTTCTGATGACAGGGTCAAATACTTTGCGCCGTTATTTCTATAAAAACTAGCGTTGAAAACCTCAGGTTGATAAAAATGTATCGTCTTGGAAAAGCCCGGAAAAAACGAGGTACGCATGAGATAAATTGCTGGGTGGGGAGGGGGGCGCCATGTGGATCGAAACCGCAGACCGGCTACAACATGCCCGCCCGGAAAATTCCTTACACCCTGGTATCAAGGATTCGTAAGACGTGTACACGCCTCTCACCTTGCCGTTACAGAAGGCCATGCTTCCTCGAGTCCCTATGTTGAATCTGTAAGGTGGGAGAGAATCAAGAAACCCAAAATTATGCTGCTTCGTCCCCGCCAAAATTTCCCAACCTCAGGTCGGACGGTTCTATTATGTTTGATCCTCAAGGGTGGATTTTACATTTTCCCCTTAAGACTTCCCCTTAATACCTTTTTATCTATACCCTTAAAACATTAAATTTACATCTTCGTGTCTATTTTGCATAAAAACTGATTCACATTAGGCATAAATGTATTAGTATTGGAGCTTTTTTTTTTACAATGTAAGAAGACTTTTGGTATGCTCCATCCTTTACAGTGTACTATGGGATTGGTGTCAAGAAAGGTCATATAGCTGCGGACGTCTATATTTTGGTCGGTTTTCCTTCAGTTTTCCACGCTTAAAGCACATTTGTAGTTATTTTGTCGCCTCAGATATGTTCAGATGGACTTTTAACTTTTGTATGAGAATTGTAGATGTGATCGTAATGTCTGTTGTGGAGTTTGGGACGGATTTACTTTGACTTTGTTGTTGCACGTGAGACGAGCTACCCACGTGTGGGAGGGGGGCCTATACATTGTACTAGTAATTTTTTTCTGCCATATCGTATTGAAAGAGATATTTTGCTTGACTTACCGATGCACCCTGTGGTTTACTAAACTTGAAAGCTGAAGCTGTCTGGCTAGTCAATTTCCAATGAAAAGAGGAAAATCAAGGAGGTTTAAAACTCCTACAATTTCTTGTATTTGTACTGTACAAGTTGTATCATATAGCATGATCTCCAATAATGCAATGTATAATAAATTCAAAAGTTCTAAGTCGGTGTGCTCTGAAGTAAATGTTGCCTTTTATACTTTCCCACTTTATATGGTAATTCTACTATGCAGTAATCTCCAAGCAGATCCCTAAATTAAGTTGGTGCCAAAAAAAAAAAAAAACAGTATCAAATTGGTCCAGGCCGTATCCATTAGCCAGAGAAGGTCGCTGGCCACTGACCCGTTGGTGGGGAAAAAAAAAAAACCAACAACAAACGGCCATGTATAAAAAGCTAACGATCATTCCCCCACAACCTCTGACTAGACTGAAGGTTTCCATTTTTTCAGTATAAATGCAGCAAGTCTATCCTCTCCAATTGTTGCCTTGGATGGCCTAATGGTAAGGTTACCAGAAACAAGACCAAGAGGTCGCGACTTTGATCCATGCCAAACGTTTACTCCACACACACCTCACAGTAACATGTAAATTAATTCATGTTCTCCCTTTTTTCTGCAGCAGACAGAACTCTGGGAGCAGTGCAAACCCTCAGCACCATGAATGCTGTCTGCAGAACACTGAGGACTGTTGCTGGCCTGTACCAACCTCAGCAACTTCTGACTAGGCCTTTCTCTATAGGTAACAAACATTGTGTATCATGTAATTGTATCTGATGAGATATGTAATGACAGATGATAAAAAGAAGAACCCAACATAATTATTGAGAAGGGCAAGGGCTGATGTTGACCTGGTGTGCATTATCAGAAAACATTGAAAAAGCTTATAATACTTTAGGTATCATCCTTCACGTCATTTGACATTAACTGCTTTACCAATACATTAACAGACCCCTGCAATTCCAGAACAAGCTGGTAGAGAGCTCAAGTCATTTTGCAATCCCTTCAAGACCTACTCATCTACCATAAAGCAAGGCAATTCATCTAAATCTTCTTGTGTTATCATGTTTACAGACACTGTGACACACACACACACACACACACACACAAACATGCACACACGCGCGCGTGCACACATGCGCACATACACACACGCGCGCACACACACGCACACACACACACACACACACACACATGCACACACACACACACACACACACACACACACATGCACACACACAGACTCTACCCAAAAAAAACTACCTTCGTGAAGGTGCTGTTAATAATAATCTCATACCTTCTCCCCACAGCCCCAGTCCTGCTGTACTGGAAGAAACGTCAGCGTCCGATGATGCCAGAGCCGCGGCTACTGGACGAGTATGAACATCACGACTTCAGGAAGGTGTGGGTACGCCCTCCTCCTGGACCCAAGACGTCTCCCAAGGACCAGTGGACGAAGGAGAAGGCCATGTTTGGTTGTTATGACTACCAGGATATCTTAGGCAAGTACAGGAATGTACATTTAAATGCTGGCCCGTTGGGAATCTAAAAAAGCATTAACAGGGCTGCTGACAGAATGGTTAATATGTGCAAGTCTACCAAGTGTACTCAAAGTATACAACACTCAAACCCTAGCATTCAGTCAGTGAGAGGTATAATTCTTAGTTTATATTCTTGTAACCTGCAGTGTAAAAGAAAGCAGCATGCCACGCATGCTTACACAAAGTCATGTTACCTTGATCTAACATTTATTATAATACACCATGAAAAATATATTTAGGGCTCGCAATAGCACCTTTCTTTGTGGGTTAGTACAGGTAAACTTAGTTTTGCAGATATTTATAAGTCTACTTGCACATATCCTGCTGTTTGTTGCCAGCTACAAAATGCTAATAATGAATTCACAGGGCTTGAAATACTGGGTGCATGAGCACTTTAGTGCACCCAAATTTGGAGCAGTGCACCAAATTTTCTGTGGGTACACCAGTGCACCCAAGTATTTTCTAATATGTTTAACGTTGTTAAAGATGTTAAATGTATAATAGATACAGCATATTCTTAACATCTAAGTGTCAAAAAAAAGAATACAATCATTGTTATAGTACTTTTCTTGAAATGAAACATAATTATAGTTTTTGCTGACATTCTACTTATTTTATCTTATATGATGCACCTAAAGTATTTTTTGTGCACCTAATTTTTTTAGGTTGGGTGCACCAGTGCACCAATTCTCAAAAATGAATTTCGAGCCCTGATTCAAATGGTTCCATAACATAATCTAATCATTAATGTTCATTATGGTCCTGTTGTAGGTGACCACCCGTACATCCACCCTCGGCACCTGTGTCTGGAGGGGCCGAAGTACGTCCGAGGTTTCCGTGGTAACGAGCTGCAGAGACTCATCCGCAAGTACATCCCACACTCCTTCACTTTTCATCTATTCCTTGCATAGATCAGGATCAGTCAAGTTACGAAATGCTATGCATCTGGTCAAACTGTCATATGCTCATGAGATAGTCATGTATACATGTATGTCCTGCAAAGTTTAGTTGTCTTGTAATGGAAAAGTGTTGTAATAAAGGATTAATGCCCCTCCCCAATATGTATATTGTAAGATAATCCCTGGTCAGGTGCGATAACCACCTCATAAACCACCAAGTGAGCAAAATAAACTACAATTTGTTTGTAATAGATAAATGATAACGGTCCAAAAAGTGGTTGGTTATTCTAATAACTGACCACTTTTTAGGTTACAGCCTGATAACCAATGGGAAATGGAGCCTTCTGATTGGTCAATGCCTTCTGGCTATATGATAATAACTCTTTATGTCACTCAGCCAAATATGACCTTCTGAACACCAGCTTCTTACTTCATAGTACACTACATGTATGTGTTGGACTACTGATGGTTTTTTGCTCATGGTGGATTTGCTGAATAAAACTTTTATTGCGATCACATGTATGGCTTCTATAAATCTATTGTATTGTGATGAAATATTAATGATATGTTTTCTGTCCTTTTTCTTTTAGGAAAAACTTTGCAGGGAAAAATATGGGTGAGGAGGACTGGAAAAACCTTCAGAAGAGAATCAACTACCTGTACAGGAGATTGAACAGAAAAGGAGCCTACCGAACATAGTGTTTATTGTTTGTTGACATTATGTATTGCCATTGTTGATGAAAATGTAGGAGTAAGAAGATGCTAGTATTAAAGAACATGTGTACACATGTAAACTAGAGAGGTACAGGTAATATTTGTAAAGTAAGTGCATAATGTTTACCTTCACATGTGGCAAGAATATACAGATCAATAGTTTGTTAGGCTAGAGTGTAGCCACATTCATATACATGTATATGGCGACCAGCCCTTCCAACTCTGTCCTGCCACTGCTACATAATGTAACCCATCACCACAGGGTGTCTTCTACAGCACCAGTTACTATGGTGACATCCTGGTTCAATTCATTGACCTGATTTGTTTGGAGAAGAAGAAACAGAGCAAAAACAATATGTTTTCCTTCTTTGAAGGTAAACATAAATTTTCTGGGGGGGGGGGTTCAAGGGGACAGTAAGGCCATGTTGATTTGATTATATGGATGACATCCGCGCGCGCATGAATTTTTGGCCGTTTCCAAAAAAAAAAAAAGTTTTCAACCATACTGTAAATCGTGCAAAACATTTGCTAAATGAACAAAAATATACCATAAGTTGCAAGGAAAACATTTAGAAACGATACCAATGTCGTAGAATGCCAAAATCAAAGGAAAAAGGACAAAAATGTAAAGAAATGAATTCGAAGAGTAGATTATTCGCCATAACATATTCTGTGCCATTTGTTCAACCTTCATGACCACGTAGATTTCATAGTGAAAGCTAACTTTTTTTTTTTGCAAAACTTTTTTTTTATTCGCACGCGCGCATCAGTTTTGGGGTTCCCAGAGGATGTCATCCATATATTCAAATCAACATGGCCTAACTAACAAAGAAATTGCCCATCTTTGTTGAAAGGCAAATGAAGGAAACACAAATAAAGAGATGCGCTGTACAGTTTGTCCTGTGTGTGTGATTTTGGTATTTTAAGTAATGTCTGCTTTCCTGTTGGTTTCAAACTACCCCTGGGTAAGGTTGAAGGTGTGCTCTGCACAATACAAAATGGGTTTCGTGTAGGCCCATGGTGCAATGGCTAGAGCGTTGGGTTGGGAACCTATAGGTCACAGGCTCGATACTGTGGTCCCTTGGGAAAGGCACTTAACACGACTTCCCCACCTATACGGTGGAGTGACGCCCACCTAGCCTCTTGGGCTAATCTGTCTAACTGTGTGCAAAAAACACACACTACAGTTTGTTTGTTTATTTATTTATCCAGGAAATACATATCGCCTTATGGCATTTTTCAATGGTTCCTGGGGGGAAAATCCCAAACAAAATCCATTAACAAAATGAACTCAAGATTAACAAAGGTATGAAATAAATTTACGCAGATTACAAACTGATACAAAATCAAAGTAACTTAAATAAGGCCACACCAAGTAAATTTTATGGATGACGTCCTTTGGAAACCCTAAATCTAATGCGAGAGGGCGAAAAAAAAAACAAGAAGGGCCCTAAAAAACAAGATGCCTAGATTAGAAATATACTAAGAGACGACAAATGTTAGGACACAAATTGAATGAGGTGACACAGTGTAACAAGCAAGAAGTCTTTTATTCATCATCAAAACAGCAATAAATCAGGTGGAACAGTGGACAGTGAAAAATGACAGGATGGTCCTGTCAATAGTGCAAATTTTCTGTTATTGACAGGATGGTCCTGTCAATAGACACTTTCTTTGCGTTACGGGTTTCACATCAATCTGGTGATTTGCGGCACTGTCGTGACTCTTTGGTCGTAGTTACAGGAAGCGGAATTTCTTGGGTTTTTTTCTAGGAACAGGCCAAAATCAATGCGCGCGCGGACGTCATCCATAAAATTTACTTGGTGTGGCCTAACACCATTGTAACCTTAACATTACAATACATACAATACATAACATTAACGTAACACTACAGATTCGGTGCGCCAATTGCAATGTGTCAACATCAGCACATTTGCCACGGAGAGAGCCGTTAAATTGCAGAATGAGACTCTGAGCACTCCGTTGGATTACATCCAAACCACGGGACACAGGAGGGACAATGTCACGATTCAGTCTGCTTAGGCCACAGCAAGTGAATTTTATGGATGACATCCTCGGCAGACTCCAAATCTAATGCGAGCGGGACGAAAAAAAACAGGCAGGCCAAAAAAAAAAACAAGGTTCCTACATTATAAAATTTTGACTCAATCATTGCAGGAATGGCTTTTATTCGGTCGCAACATCACAAATACACAGCCATCATCACATATCACTGTATCAAAGTAAGAAACAAAACATTAGATCAGAGCCTTTTCTTGTCTCTTCTCTTCATAGTTGTCTGCCATCCACCATCCGGCATGGCAACAGACATCTTTGCCCATTTTCGGCATGTTGACCACTGTCAGAAGGCAACAAAATGTCTTGTTTTTTTCCCAAAATCAGGCGAAAATTAATGCGCGCGCTCATGTCATCCATAAAAATTACTTGCTGTGGCCTTACCTCTACATCCTCCCATGGCAGGGGCAGCGGCTCCGAATTCCTTCTCCGCCCCTACCCCTGCCTTATTACATAGCATCTTCTACTCTACGACCCGAGGAATATTAATATTCATGAGCTTGCCTTATTTGGCATGACCCCATTTCTGACTTGGGCGGCGAAGGGACGTCACCCTCCCCGCCGGCGACTCCGCCGCCGCCCGGTGACGAGCCCGTTAACGCGTTGGGGAGGCCGTGCGGGGCAAAGTCACCGAGTTAACACCTTCCCCGTGCTCGGCGGGATCCGCGCGCAGCCTCCAGCACACGCTAGCGCCCCGCCGACGCCCGCAGCGGCCTGCATCGCAAAAGTTCTCTTCCCGAGACGACGCCATGTTTGTTTTTATTTGTCACTGAATAGCCGACATGATTGGTTCCGATAGCTAGCGCATCTCATAAATATTAATGTAAAGTGCGTTGAAGATTTTCTCTGTGATACGTGATTGGCTGAGAGCGTGTCCCTGGAATCGGGTCGTAGAGTAGAAGATGCCATGTAATAAGGCAGGGGTAGGGGCGGAGAAGGAATTCGGAGCCGCTGCCCCTGCCATGGGAGGATGTACCTCTAATGAAAAACAGACTCTGGCGCCACCAGACAAGATGACGTGCCGTGCGGACTGCTGTGTGTTTCCCCTTCTTGGTGGCATCGTTTTCGTTTTCTGTGCCCTGGTCGGGTGCTGTACGGCAGGTAGGTTATATTAGCCTCTACCAGGCTTCAGGAAGCGGCTGGAAAGAATGGAAATCAGCCAAATAGAGAGATACTAGTAACATGGCAGGGAAGTTGGCCATGGTCCGGGTGCGGCCAACCGTACTCACTAGCGGACCAACTCCCCTGACATGTTATCTCTCTATTTGGCCGATTTCCACTCTTTCCAACCGCCTCCCGAAGCCTGGTAGAGGCTAAGGTTATATATGCAGAACTGTGTTTTATCCAGAACAATGCTCAGGCACGGTTTGGGATGATCCACGTGTATATCCAGAACAGAACGTGACTAATCTACGTTCTTGGAAACGCGGAGACTACTAGTATCCTGGATATTCATATATACATTAGGTATAGTAATGCAGACCGTTTCAACCCTTCAACTAGTTGTATTTCACTTCAACCATTCCAGACACTCTAAGTGAACCAGAGAGGTCACTATGGGTGCTAGGAATCTCACAGTGATTGTTGACATTTGCTGACATTTCGTCGTGGATTTTATCGCCTTAGCCCATTGACAATGTGAAATGTTAGAAGTCAGGAAACTTCCCTCTCAGATATATATCTCGTGACCTTGACACCCAGCATGCGGTAAAAATGCCAACGTAAGATGAAGAGGAAGGTCCCTTTTCATTCCTTGCGAAGAATAGGGGTGGTGCCCATCCCCATTTCTGTAGCCCTTGACCTACACAGTTGTGCAAGCACTACAGCAGGGGCTAGCCCGCTGGTACTGTTGTGTGTTTGACCTTTCCATACTCTTTCTCATAGATGCTGAGTGCTAAGCAGAGAAAGAAATGTGTACCATTTTTAATGTATTTAGTATGACCCGTGGTCGGGGTTTGAACTCACGACCTCCCGGTTACAAAGCAAGCACTCTACCCAATTGAGCTATTGCACCGATTATGCGAACGTAAATCCAAGCTTAATTCATAAATTTACCAAAATTTAATGTAAAATGTAGCTCCACAATATGTGTTTGAAATGCAGTTATATTATAGGCCAGAGGAGATATCCATTTTGGGGTCATAGTTCAAAGTCAGATAGCAAGGTCAAAGCTATTAATCTGTAACGGCTATTAAGAAGTATCAATAAGTATATTCCACAGACATCCTACTTTCAAAAGTTATGAGAATTTGCCACCTCAGGCTTTTAAAATTTATGGGCCAGGCCCATATATATATGGACTATAGCCTCTACCAGGCACTGCGGATCCCTGGAAAATAGTAGAAATTGGCCGAAATAAAGGGATAGTATACCAGAGAAGATCCAGCCAGAGTGAAGATCAAATTTGCGACCCACGTGGGTATATTTCCCAATTTCTACTATTTATCCAGCGATCCGCGGTGCCTGGTAGAGGCCACATGGACTATAATGTGTTTGGAATACGTCTAAAATGGCACGTGCAAACGTCTAAAATAGCACGGAAATGGAGGACTGTTTTCTTTGTTTCAGTGCCAACTCCTTGGCCGTCAACTGGGTACGGCTGTGTATACGATGGCAAAGTCTACAGCCCAGGAGAGACTATATACGAGCAGCCTGGGTGTATGGGACACGGGGCGTACTGTACTGATGGTGGTGACATCATTCAGTGGGACAACTTTGGATTCAAATGTGAGTTTATCGACAAATAACTGCTGAACTTTAGAAAAAATATTATATGTTATATTAAGGCCACAGCAAGTAAATTTTATGGATGACATCCTCCGCAGACTCCAAATCTAATGCGAGCGAGCGAAAAAAACAAGGTTCCTACTTTTTAAAATTTTGACTCAATCATTGTACAAAAAGTTTTTATTCATTGGGAACATCACACATACACAGCCACCAACACATATCACTGCATCGAAGTAAAAAAAACAAAACATTAGCCTTGTCTTGTCTCCTCTCTTCATATTTATCTGCGTTCGACGTTCCAGCATGGCAACAGACATCTTCGCCCACTCAGTTTGGCATGTTGACCACTGTCAGAGGGCAACAAAATTTCTAGTTCCAAAATCAGGCGAAAATTAATGCGCGCGCTGATGTCATCCATAAAAATTACTTGCTGTCAAGTCAAGTCAAGTCAAGTCAAGTCAAGTCAAGTCAAGTCAAGTCAAGTCAAGTCAAGTCAAGTCAAGTCAAGTCAAGTCAAGTCATGCAAGTCAAGTCAAGTCAAGTCAAGTTTATTTATGCTGTGGCCTAAAGGCAACCAATACAATGTCAGGGCGGCAAGAAAATATTCTAGGTTCATCTGATATTGACTTTTACTGCCATTTCTCTTTGGAGCCGCCCATAAATAGCTATAAACCAGCCTACGATATGAAAACAAGCAAACACTAGTTACCATGGTGACAGATGTCTGGTTCAGGCCATTGACTGTATTGGTTTGGCGGAAGAAGAGCAAACCGAGCAAAAACAATATGTTTTTCTTCCCTTAACATAATAACAATGTTGTAGGCTATCATGAAAGTTCATCTGTGTTGGTAGCTACATGTTTAAAGTTAAAACTTTTGGTCCAACACAAAAAATTCTCTCACCTAGAGCTTTCGACCAGTCACTCTGGTCTTCCTCAGTAGACTGACCCAGTGAAGCTTGTCACGTGACTTCTTTGAAGTGTGACGTCAACACTGGGTCAAAGGTATCTGGTAGACGATGTCTACCCCCGTCGCGGTTCAATGTAGGGTGATGGGCCCTGATGTAAGGCCCAGATACCTTTGACCCAGTGTTGACGTCACACTTCAAAGAAGTCACGTGACAAGCTTCACTGGGTCAGTTCACTGAGGAATACCAGAGAGACTGGTCAAAAGCTCTAGGTGAGAGAATTTTTTGTGTTGGAACAAAAGTTTTAACTTTAAAAACGTTGTAGGCTGTGAACACGACGGAGATTACTACGAAGGCGGGGAAACCGTGACTATCGGCGGTGTGACCTGTTATTGTGAGGGGAGTGACAATGAAGACCCCGCCCCGATGATTTGTCCAGAGACGACCACAGTACCAGTGATAACCCCAACCTCACCTACTGGTAGCATAAACGTAAGGTTATGTCATTTTTACTTCTGGATTACTGCTCTCATTTTTACTAAATTAATTTACTACAATTTTACTTAGTACCTTAAAACAAGGCTCATACGAACCGCTCATAGGTTTTGTGTTACAATAAGAAATGAAAATACGATTAGGCCATACTTTTTTATTTACTATGTAAAGTTTAAACTCCACAACTATGGATTCTACCAAAACAGATGAGCTTTTATTCAAAATTATACTTCAGTATGTACATGCACTGCATAAATATATATGTCCTTCCTTATGGTGGTGGCATTAAAATACGTTCTCTAACTTGATTTGATTTATTGAATTTTTAACAACAAAATACATGTGGGTCAAAGTCAGCTTTTGCTGGTTCCACACATAGAAACAAATATAGGACAGACAATACTCATTTTCACTTGAGTTAAGTGAGAAATGTGAATTGCCTTTCCAAAGTGCAAAAGATCAGTGGCATGTCAGGACTCGAACCCGGGACCTCTTGGTTCCGACTCGAGCACTCTGCCGTTACGCCACACGACCCCGCTCTTAACAACATTCTGTCGTGTGCCATCAGTTAGTCTCCAAGTACTTTTGTTCAAAAGAAGCTCATTGGACAGACAATACTCATTTTCACTTAAGTGATAAAAGTCATATTAATTGCCTTTCCCAAGGGCACAAGATCGGTGGCATGTCAGGACTCGACCCCAGGACTTCTTGGTTCCGACTCGAGCACTCTGCCGTTACGCTACACGATCGACCCCGCTCTTAACCACAATCTTACGTGTGCCATCACTTTGTCTCCGATAGTACTTTTGTCCAAAGAAACTTATAACCTATAGCTACTTACTGCAGCCTTACTTTTGCCAGGAGGAGGAGGAAGATGAGATGCAGGCCTGGTATGATGACTTCATGGAACTGATGTCCAAGATGCTGACTGCTGTCCAGAAGCTGAAGAAGTGCTCTACTTTACCAACATTTTAAAGGCATCCAATGCGATTTCCGGGCAGCAAAATTGGAAATATTTTAACAAGGCAAACTTTGTGACATTGACGCATACTCCTTAACATTTGCACATTTGAGTCAGCATTTCATACCTTGGGCGTTTAAAACAGCAGTAACAAGTCACAAGATGAGTCCTTTATTTTCTGGGTGGTACCCTGAAAATCAGCCCAGGGCCCTTTTAAACTATTTTCCGTCAGAATTTTGGCCCCCATTTCCATGAGGGTCAATAAACATTGGAAGACTGTGGTTTCAACTCACTAATATAGATAAATGACGAAAAATCGGGTTTCCAAGCCTTAAAACTGCATTGAATGCCTTTAAAAAAGCAGTCAAAAAGCAGTTACTCAAGCAACTGGATATGATTTTGGTAACAGTCAGACGTTTCAGGTAGTATCCACTACCTTTCATCAGTGACACGAAGAAACTGCAGGAGAATTGCAGGTTAATGTTGATTGATATGTAAATAAGTGAAGACAATAAAAACTGAATTATCCATTGTAATTCTATGTTAAGATCACCGGAAACAAGTACTTTTATTTCAAACCTCGAGTGTTTGCTCCCACTACAAAGCTGGATTTGTCAAGTAGTGCAAGTGGCCGTAGTACTAGAAACTGCGAGATGCTAATGTCCGAACAAACCGATATAAGAACTCACCTATACCGTTCATGTGTCAACTACTCAATAATTATGGACTGACAACCTGCCTGCTGCCTTGTTAGTACAGTGTTTTGTATCAAATGTAGTCCTGGAAAATTATATTTATGGGTGAAACCATATTGCTTTTTCTGATGTTTCTTCTCCTCCTCCTTCTCCTCCTCCTGCCATATCTTTAAATGGATTCAGCTGCTTCATTTTAGGGCCTAAGGTCCTGAAATTTGGTATGGAGGTACAGTGGGCAAATACCCCTAGGCGTTTTTTAAATTATTGTGATACAGGCTTTTAGAATGGTTTTATTTGAGTTTTTTGGCTGTGTTATAGCAAATGTATTACTGTGTTAGTCTGCCTTGTTTACCACGTTTGGGCATGAGTCATCACAATGGAATGCAGGGCATCAACCAATAGGCATGCAGCTTTCCTCTATACTTCTTGCTGATTGGCTGTTGGGATTTAACTTGATTAACACCTGCACAGAAGCATTTCCATACTGACAGTATGTCTGTATTCAAGTGTTTTGGTAGGTATTTCAAGCTTTCCTGCTCCAGCATTGGAATGCCGGGCATGGACGTTTTTTTTTTATTTTGAAAATCAACAGTTTGCATTATGCAATTAAAAATCCTAACCAATAAAGTAGGGAATAGCTATCCAACTGTTGTTTTAGCTGTATTTTACTTCATATTATAGTTATATCAATGTAAATCATTGTTTTCCCTTGTGTTTCCCATTCTTTCCCTGCCATGTCGTAAAATGTGGTGAACCCATCGCTGTATTTGCTCCAAAGCAAATATTGGCCTTTCTAGTATCTGTATTATTATTGGTCTGAATGTATACCTGTATTTTTAAATTGATGTTTTGTAGTTCTTCAGATTCTATACATGCAGATACTTTCATGTCTTTATGATCTTTATACTCTATACTATAGCTGCGAAATACGATCGTCTGAGTAGTATTTGAAGTCTGGGCTTAAAATTTAGTCTGGCTATAAAGGCATCGAATGCAATTTTTGAAGCGTGGGAAACAAAAAATAAATGACCTGGATGAGGAAATGTGTCCATTGTTGACATTTCATACCATTTTAGCACATTTCTGTCCCTATTTTGTACCCGATGCGTTTAAGAATAGCCCCCAAACAAGCTACGTTTTAATACTATCCAAGCAGAGGTTTGGGTTTGGGGCATTTTTAATTTGTTTTTAGGCTTTTTTATTGGGTTTTCTTTTTTTTTTTGCATCATTTGGCGAAGGTAAATTCTTTCATTTTTTATCGGGGTGTTTCTTTTTTTAAAAAGAAACCCCGATAAAAAATGTATTTGGCAGGATCATGTATATGGCTCGGCACGGGGCTGGGAATTGTGACCTTTAGTGTCGTTTGTTCTTCAACATCTAAAGAATAAATAAAATATTATATAATTCTCTGGAGAACATGCGTATGCATGACTTGTTTACAATCAGCTTGTTTTGATCAACCTTTCACCAGACAAATCAAGGTTTCTGGTGCTACAAGAAATCTGGCGAAGTATTTTCGCAGGCTAGGTACTCGGGGTCCATTATTTTGGTTCATCTGCTGCGCAAAAGAAGATGAGTACAGGACAACGTCAGGTGATTCACGGTAGAGATACCGAAGTTGTGGATAGCCTGGTCTCATCTTCAACAGAAGATGTCAATACAGGTATGTTTTAATTCAATTTGGTCGTTGGATTTTTGTGTAATCACTACCCCAAATCTACACAAAATTAAAGGTAATATTTAAGCACGCTTAAACTCGGCGTAAAGATGATTGTGTTCGAGTTAAAATAAGACGTTTGTATCGCTATACCAATTGCATAAATAGGAAATTTTACCACTGTTTTTGCGCTGTGAAGAAGACTTTATTTAGGACTTACTGCTCCCAACTGTTTGGCGTACAGCTATGGAACCGTGTTAATTTGAGTGTGCTTGTCAAATGTCGGGTGACATATAATGATTGTTTTCGGATAAGTTTCCAAGATGGTGCAGTGCAGGTACTATGTTTGTTCACCATACTACTGACACATTTGATGCCAGACGCAGAAAATTATGCTACTCCTTTCTCAATAAACACCGACAACAGCATAATACAAGGTCTTCTGAGGTCAGATTGTCAGTATATATCTTTTTTAGTGTATGTAAGATGCTGTATAGTCTGTGTTTTTATGTTTGCACCGTTTTTTTCTATGGGTGAAATAGACGTTCATTCATTCATTCATTCATTCATTCATTCATTCATTCATTCATTCATTCATTCATTCATTCATTCATTCATTCATTCATTCATTCATTCATTCATTCATTCATTCATTCATTCATTCATTCATTCATTCATTCATTCTTATGCGATGTTTCTCCCTCCCTTCCGGGACTTTACAACCACTATACGTACGCTTAAACCACGCTTAATTGAACTGTTAAATTCAGAACTACCGAAATCACTACCGATAAAGTATGAATGTACAGTAAAAGTTATCTGTTATCTAAAGGTAATGTCAACCGTCGTGCCAAAAGGGATGGCACCAACACCCCTGGACAGATTGAAGTCCCAAAGAATGAACAAGAACATGCAACCGGCATAGCATCTGAGAACACATTTCCTGTGACTGTCAGCCGTAACATCATTGGATTGGTCGGCAACACGATGTACGGGACTGCTTACGCCCAACAAGCTGGATATGGAGGTATACTTTGTTATTACGTTGACATATATATACAGAACCACACCACAGCCACACTCCAACAAGCCCAAACCAAAAGCATACCCTCTTACAAACTTAAGGCAACAAGCGAAGGTTTCATGTTTTCGTCCCTATAATCCTTTTTGCAGATTGTATATCGTATAAGAAATAGTCTCTTTATATTCAAAACATTGGTCTGGGGCAAGTGAGGATAAATGTTTAAACATGATTTTTCAAGAGTTTCATCGAGATCAATCAACTACATCAAACGTTGTTTTCTTTTATGATTTGTTGAAAGAAAAGTGTTAGATGAGGACGTGTCTTTACTATGATAATCACGTTATGTTTCTTATGATGCAAAATGAACAGTACTTGTCAGGTAACAAGTAATGAGGGTAGAGTTAACGTTGCATGTATAATTCAATTTCTCCTTAACTAGAAAAAAAAATTAGTATAAATACATCGTTGCTTTAGATGACAATAACAAGTGAGATATGAATGTAAAGGAGTAGAAATCGCAACAACTTACCGCCGAAACATTATAATAACTAGAAAGGTAACATTTGCAAAGCAAATGCATAATGTTCACCTTCGCATATGGTCTGCTCTGTTAATCTTTACTCAAACACATCCACATATATGATGACAGGAGCCTAAATCCCTTGGCTTGACTACAAATAAGTCAAAGACCAAAGTCATGATCCAGCCAGCTCCGGGTCAACAACCGCCAGCAGTAAGCTTCTACCTGGATGGAGTACGCCTTGAGTGTGTTAAGCACTTTAGTTATCTTGGCAGCACTCTTAACCACAAGGGAAACATTGACGACGAAATCTCACACAGGCAAGGTTGTGCCTGTGCAGCCTTAAGGGAACGAGTCTTTGACAATGCAAGCCTTAAGACGGCAACAAAGGTCCAGGTGTACAAAGCCGCAATTCTTCCAACCCTCCTCTATGGTTGTGAGGCCTGGGTCACCTACCGAAGGCATCTTAAAACCTTGGAACAGTTCCACCAACGCTCGCTGCGGCGTATTCTGAACATTTCCTGGACTGACTATCGCACCAACACCAGCGTGCTAGCTGAAGCCGGCTCTTGGAGTATTGAGGCCCTCGTCATGCGCAGTCAGCTACGTTGGTCTGGCCACTGTGTACGAATGCCAGACAATCGGCTCCCCAAGCAGATTCTTTACGGTCAACTGGAGCAAGGGACCCGTGCAAGGGGGGGACAGAGAAAACGGTACAAAGACACACTTAAACATTACTTAAAGAAAGATCACATTGACCCCTCAAACTTCCAAGCCCTCTGCCACAACCGCAGTGCCTGGAGGCAGATGTCCTACACGGCTGTCTCAACCTTTGAAAGCGAGAGAGTTGCCGCCGTGGAGGCAAAAAGGATGGCCAGGAAGGAGCGTCAACGTCAACGTCAACAAAAGGACTAAGAACTAACACCATTGGACTCGCCCTACTCCGTGGAGTGGCTGTCAACACCATGGTGAGAGACAATCTGGTTCAATCAGGTCAGAGGTCACTGTTTGGAGAAGAAGAAGAGGAAATGTAGCAAAAACAATATGTTTTCCTTCGGTAAACATAATAATAATTGTTTATTGATTGATCGATGAGTACAATCTCTAGCATGTGGCAGCGCAACTAAAAAGTAGCGCTGAATTGTATGCAAGTGTTTAAAAACAGAGAAACAAATATTGCACAGTTAACAAATAGACAACTAAACAAGTGAGTATTTCACAGTTAACATATAGGCAACTAAATAAGTGCGTAAAATGAGCTTAACAATATTCACAATATCACCCAATAAGTTATCAATATCATCAGTGTAAAAAATGATAATTCATTACAATATGATATGAACTAGCTTGTTCACTCTGATTCTAAAGGTTCGTATTAGTTCGAATCTCTTGAGGACGGTGGACAGTCATAACTGCCGTAGCAGGTACTTCATTAAGAAATTCTGTCTAAGTCGTCAAATGTCATTAGGTAACATAACGAGAAAAGAAAAAGAGTCAACTTTCTGGTCATTTCTTTACAAACTTAAGTTGAAACAACCCTATCACTAGCTCCTACAACCCTGAAGTGCTATTCAGGAATTGGAGGTGCGAAATATTATACATACAAGAGTGCTTAAATGCTGGAAACACAGCTGTCAGCCATGTTTGTTTACATTCTGGTAGTTTGTGGTGGTACCACAAACAAGGTGCGCCTGGTGTGCGGGCTGCTAAAGTGATTATCATAAGTGCCAGAGATTTAAAATAACGACAGAAATTAAATATGTTGAAAAATAAATTACAACTACACATTTATTCTTTCAATTGCTTGAATAATTTCTCACACCTAACTCTCTTTCTTCCACTCTATTGTACCTGCACAAGTATGTTGAAAAGAAAATTACAATCACGCGAAGATTCTTTCAATTAAAATATTTCATTTTTTTTGATGCAGAAATATTAGATAATGTCCCTTTAATCCTTGTCCTGCTGTACTTTTATTAGGCAATTTTTTCATGAATTTCATTTCTTAATTCATTAACCCTTGCCTACTTTTGCGCTGCTTTGGCATGGTTTCTTCGGTATTTGGTGCGTTTTGCTGCCGTGTGATGTGTTCACGTGAGAAATACTCCTGTTACCTGTAAATTTACGGGACCACATACAGGCACAGTATGAGCGCACAACCCATATTATATATTTAGGTCCAGCAGTAACTTATTAAATAATAATTATATATTTCTCACTTCTCACAACTAACTACCTTCTGTCTTTCTCCCACTGTACTGCATAGAACAACTGGCGATTCCTACCAGGCACGAGGAAACTGAAATTGCCGACGCTGATATTGATAACTTTGATGGCGACCCTGACAGCCACACGTACAGCACTAGAGGTGACTGTGATGACGACCCTGACAGCCACACGTACAGCACTAGAGGTGACTGTGATGACGACCCTGACAGTCACACGTACAGCACTAGAGGTGACTGTGATGACGACCCTGACAGCCACACGTACAGCAATAGAGGTGACTGTGATGACGACCCTGACAGCCACACGTACAGCACTAGAGGTGACTACTGTGATGACGACCCTGACAGCCACACATACAGCACTAGAGGTGACTACTGTGATGACGACCCTGACAGCCACACGTACAGCAAAAGAGGTGACTGTGATGAAGACCCTGACAGCCACACGTACAGCACTAGAGGTGACTGTGATGACGACCCTGACAGCCACACGTACAGCTATAGAGGTGACTACTGTGATGACGACCCTGACAGCCACATGTATAACAATATGGGTGACTGTGACGAAGACCCTGACAGCCACACGTACAGCAATAGAGGTGACTGTGATGACGACCCTGACAGCCACACGTACAGCACTAGAGGTGACTGTGATGACGACCCTGACAGTCACACGTACAGCAATAGAGGTGACTGTGATGAGGACCCTGACAGCCATACGTACAGCAGTACCTCCATTTGCCACGGAGGTGATACTGTCGACAGGGATGACTTCCACAACCTACAGCAGGCCAGTGAGGACAGTGGATATGGTGAACAACTGTCAGACAAACAAGAAGACACTACACAGACCAGTAACGACCAAAGGGACGTCTCTGGCCTACTAAAGAACCCACTTTACGCCACTGGTGCATTTCGACAAAATAACCCCAAAGGTATACAATGTTTATCTCATCTCTCTCTCTCTCTCTCTCTCTCTCTCTCTCCTTCCCTCTCTGTCTGCCCCCTCTCTCCCATTGAGTTGCCGCATATTGTGATTAGCATAACCTTTGAGCTTGGTATAATAGTCCGGGAGGAGATTCTCAGAAGAGGCCTAGAAAATAAAAAACGTAGCACACCCCTTACATACTTTGACCAGTAACACATAGAATGATACCTTAATGTCCCCTGATCATTGATTGGTGTCGGGAGGTTTCTGTTACTAGTATTGCAGAATAGAACGTGCTATTTCGTCGCTGTCAGTGTATCTATCTATCTATATGCTTTTATCTATCTATCTATCTATCTATCTATCTATCTATCTATCTATCTATCTATCTATCTATCTATCTATCTATCTATCTATCTATCTATATCTATCTATCTATCTATCTATCTATATCTATATCTATACCTATATATAGATATATACATATAGATATAGTTATCTAGCTATCTATCTCCGTCTATATTTCTGTAATTTGGAGTATTCACTACTTCCCAAAGCTAAAACTTTGTTTTATCAAAAATAAAAACACAGAGGCGTAAACGTAAACCAATCACCAGCTTTATTATCCTTTGATAGTCATTCTCTTTTTTTTGCTCGCGGTTGCTTTCTGAGACGTCAGCGTACATGTCCGGAAAATTTAGTTAATATAAACACTTAGTAATAGCCAGTGCTCATCGTATTTTGTACATTAAATTTAATGCCCATGCTGCCATGCACTTTTTCCGTGTCACTAACAACTTAAAAAGGTCGCATCTTCGTCTGGCAATGTTGTGTAGAACTTACAACGTGCTAATATTGCTGAATCGTAACAATTATAGACCCCGTTATGCAATCTACTAACATTGAAGGAAACCCAGGTCTATGTAAAAAAATCCTTTTGAAACGTCATCTACTCAAATTCAAAGTCAAGACCTGTCCCTTTGAGCTTTTCATCGTACTGAGCGTCAAAGGCTTGATTTTGTTCGTCGGTGAAGTAGTTCTTCCAGTCACCAACAACTCCTAGGAAATAAACAGAAAAACATATGAAACATAAACTAGAAATGTAACTTTTACACACAGGAGCATAATGTTAACCTTCACATGGTCTAGTCTAACGAACTACTGCTCTGTTTATTCTCACTCAAACACATTCATATATATGGTGATTAGCCCCTCCCCCAACTCTGCCCTGCCACTTACAATGATATTGTAATACGAAGGGACCTGTGCTACATAAATCACCAGTTGCAATGGTAGTTGTTATGATTACCAGAACAAAAAATACCTACTAACACCTTTAGGTAGCCTGGTGTCCACTCTATCGAGGTTGGGGAGGGTTCTCTTCGGGGCTGCAGCAGCTCTTCCCCGCCCGACTCAGCTAGGTTTCCGGTAGGTTTTGCCTGATGGGAGTTGAACTACTGGCGTGCAAAACTCCTACAGGCGTAACACTCCCACCGGGCGGTCTGTTGAGCTGGACGGGGGAAACTATTTAAGTCCCCAGGACAGCTTGCCCCAACCACGATAGACTGGATATCAGGCTAGCCTTTATGCTAACGAAATAACAAACCTTTTCTGGCATTGACTCTCCTACCGGAGTACCGAGAGTTGTCCAGAGTTGACTTCATGCCCTCAAATGTGCACTTCTCTGCGATCCTCGCAATGGTGGCGGCGTCTAGGTCAGCTTCTAGGAACTTTGCAATTTTCTTCACTTCGCTGGCGACGTCCTGGTCGAAATTAAATGAAAGATTTAAAACGAAGACGTATAGCAAACCCACATATAATAAATATTGAACGTCAGGTGGCAACAACACACTAGCAATGACGAGATCAGGCGTCGAACAGGACAAGTAAAGCTCTCTATTAGCTAGTACAAAGAGCAAGGCTGAGGTGGCTAGGCCACATACATGTATCTAGAATGCCAAGACAAAGACTGCCGAAGTGGTGTTAACATGGTGTCCACAAGGAAAAAGGAAGAGGGGCGGGCAAAGTATGACGTGGAGAAAAACAGTGGAAAGAGACCTTGCAGTGATGGGTTGCGAGTGGGAGGGGGCGCAACGAGCCGCAGAAGATAGAGGCAGATGGAGAACAATGATGGCCCGCCTCAGCAGTAGCTGATATGCGGTGGAGTGGTAGTGGTGGTGGTGGTATAGCAACTAACAAGGCTTTGTCACACCATATTCACCTCGGGGCGGGTCATTAACCCTTAAATAAAGCATGGTTCTTGAGTCAACACCCTCTGTGTGGGTACAGATACCTTTTTCATGTCCTCGTACTTGAGAAAAATGAAGTGGGGGTCGCCTCTCTTCTGCCACCAGGACAACACGTGATCAAAGAAGATGCCGTATTCCTCTGGAAAGAAAGGCGGAAAAAATGGCGTCGGCGTCGGAAAATTTAGTTTAACCGCTCACAAAATAGCCTGGATGCCAGACCCAAAGCACACTGGACACAAAATATCTCAGTGTGCTAGGGTCTGGTAGGGTCTCTTAGGAAAGGCTCTCGAGCATAGGGAGGAGAAGCTGTGATTGATGACCCCTCACACCACAGGTAACCTGTTACATGGTATCACCATTGGTCAGCAGGAGACAATCTTGGGCTCAACAGTTAATCATTAACTAGTCAATTTTCTAAATGTTTTTGAGTTTATTTTCCAAAATAACAGCAGAACGTAGTCTCATAGTAGAAGTAGTGTACAACCCAGGCTTTCCTGTTTGTTTAGGTAACAGTTCTCTAACACACCAGGACAAAATAACCTTATCTACAGTTTAATCCCATCTGCTGGTGGCCATTCAAAGATACAGCTGGGAGTTTTTAACCAATCATAGCAGAGGTTTAAAATTGCTTCCTGCTGTGCCACCAATGGGGCCTTACGCTCAGATACTGAGCGTTCGAGTGGCAGGTTTTAATCTGGCCCTACCAGACCCTTGCACACTGAGATATTTTGTGTCCAGTGTGCTTTGGGTCTGGCATCCAGGCTACTCACAAAAGATTATCAGCGATAGCAGAGAGTGTCTCACCTTTTCCAGCAAGGGCGTCTTGGAAGTATTTAGGCCATGGCAGCTGGTTAGCATCGATATTTCTGCACTTCAAGCAGTGGTGATAGTAGGACACAGCCGTGTCTTTTGGATTCCTCATCACCACCAGTATTTTCTCCTGAAAGAGATTATGACGAAGTGTTAGTTAATAGACCGTAACATGTTCCCAACATTTTCAATGAGGAACACTTTTATAGTGCATGATCATGATTTTGATTTCACAACAAGCTCACCGATCCTGACTCTTCCTCATCACAATTTGATAGCAGTTCAGCCAATGACAGCGTGGCAATTCAAATATTAGCAGTTCGAGTCTGTTGGACCATAAGAGAGCGGCTGCATGTCCATAAAATATTTGCATTTTTATCCATTATTTTGCATTTCTACGTTTCGACAGTGGTGACGCATTACGAAATGGTCAAAGGTCGAATGACGTTCTGTAAACATACTTATTAACATTACAGTAGAGCCTTGCTTAATATGGTAACACTTAAAAACAGCGCGGCACTTGAAAATTTTGTCCTGAACATTCTCCTATACCTTTCCCCGGGGGTTGGCTATCCGGGGGGGTGCTGTCCCGGGTTTGAGGTGGGTTAGGATGACCCGGGGGGAGGGGGCGTCTTCCAGCAGTACGTATGAGGGGTGGGGATTCTCGGGGTAATGGAACTCCAGTTTCCCGATGAGGTGTTCGTCTGAGTTGGCGGCCGACCTTCCTGCGGCCTGGAGGATGTGGGTCACGATCTCCAGGGTCCAGTTTGTGCCTACAGGGGACGTATTAAAACACAAACACTCAAAGCAGGGTCGGGCTATGTGCGTAGTCCACATACACACAGTCTACTGTGGAGAATGTATTAATTTGCGCAGACAACGTACTTGTCGATATGGGCCATCGTACCAAAGGTAATCAATCCCAGACGACGCATTAAATTTTTTTCGGTATGGGCCATCGCACCAAAGGTTCATTTAAAAGAGAAAAAACAAGAGTTCCGAGAACTCACACCTCCATGAAATACATGTATGGACTTTATATGTAAATGTAAATTTCATCTTTAAATATGCAAATGACCTCTGCATTAACATGGCATATGCATCGTGATGTATGTTAACTTTTGATTAACTTAGAGATGTCCCAAATATGACATTCCCATCATTCACCATTAAGAAATCATAGAATTTTCGCATTAATTATGCAAATTAGGTCATCATTTGCATAATTAGTATCTGTTGATGTTCCACCTGACATAGGTTACATACATTACATGTATGAAAGTAGTATAATGTAAAACTCTGTGATTATAGAATTTCATCATTAATTATGCAAATAAATTCCTCATTTGCATAATTTGCATTTAATTACATACATCTCTCTCTCTCTCTCAGCTACCTACACACCAAAAATGATGAAAATATGTTGTTCCTATCTGGACTTATTGGCTTTTAAACATTTCGCCAGAAAGTGCCCTGCAGTTCCAGAACAAGCTGCTAGGGGGACCAAACTCACACCACCTATTCCTGACAGGAAAAGCAATCTGTCACCAAAACATCAAGACCATAGCATGTTCAGGACAAAAGATACAAAAACCGGAAGTTCTGCTGCAGTACCATGGTCATTCACCAGGAGGCCCATATTTGACCTTGACCTTTGTCTTCCTAAGACTTACCAACATACCAAATATTATCATAATCTATAAAGGCGTTCAGACGTTATGCTGACTACAAATGTGCGGAAACACAAACACACACAGACAGACAGACAGACAGACGCGCCAAAAACAATACCTCCATTTTTCATGGAGGTAAACACCTCTTGACTGACCCAATGTGTCAACAATGACCCTGTAATGTTAAAGCTAACGGGCTCGTTATGTATTCCTCTGGGTTAATCATTATCATAGAGGGTGTTGCAAAACCACCTTGAGTTACAATATTTGTTAAGGAGACTTATAGAACTAGAAAGTCTGAAATGAACTAGAAACTACAACAGTATATTCTGTCACAAAATTGGCAATAACATTAATATCATGTGCATTTTTCCTGCTTCAACAATGATCGAGATGCCTTGCCTTGTTCTGTTGAGTACTAAATCATGACGTTTTCCTCTCACCTGTTTTGGGATAGCTGACAATAGCGATGTCGTCGTCGCGTGTCTGAAAGGTTTTCATGGCCTCGAGAATCTCTCTGGTGACCTGACGAGGATACCGCACCCCGTCATGGACAATTCCGGGCTTTTTATACGACATACTTGACGTTTCCAACGGCTTCTAAAGCTGGATCTGTTTAGTGTTAGCGACTTAGTTGTACTCTGTTACACACTTGACAAACCTGTTATGTAGCTTAGACGCCGCCGTGCGGGGTACCGGCGTACCCTGAACTTCGACCTGAATAATAAACTTGAGGACGTTGACCGGTAGCCTGTATTACATAAGCTCTCTCGGAGGTTAATGACCTAACGATTATAAAATGATAAGAAAACTGGTGACTGGCTTAAGTTTACGCCTCCGTAGCAGACTTCTGGTGGTCTTCGGCTGTTTTCTGATTAGCCCAGTTCTAAAAGAAAACTGGGGTAATTCAACAAGACAGGTGTTCTATGCAGAAATGTCCCCCTGTCAATCTCCAGCGAGTTTCCATGGTATTTTGAAAGCTGACACCGGAAGTGGGCGTGGCGCTAAAACTACGAAGGCCTGTAGGGGACAAAAGGTCAAACCGACTTAAAAACATGTAGGTTGACGTTGAGACAAGGTTGAAACGAAAAACCAACCTAATATCAGTGATGTAAAAATCAACTTAACATTTGTTTATTATTATCTTGAAGATTATTTATATATAAGTTCACAACAGAAAAAGTACAAAGATAGGCAAACCTATGGATTAAATGCAACTATCTGCCATGCCCCCTAGCTACTGAAAAAAGCTATACTTTGAATATTTATTGTAGCAAATGATTGTTACACAATACCGGCATAGTCACCGATGGATCACAATAATTTTTGCCCAGTGAACTTGTCGGCCAAGTTCGGTGGGGGGACATTTCTGCATGGGGGACACTTCTGCATAGTACCCCTATGCAGAAATGTCCCCTTCACGGAATATTGTCTGTAATCATATATCATAAGTTATGAATGTTTTTGATACAACATCGGCATAGTCACCGATGGATCACAATAATAATAATGCCGACCCCCTGGCTCTATGCACCCTGGGGAATTTTACCCCCTGGTGCAATGCATCCTGGGAATAGGAAAACGGTGAATAACCGCTGATTATTGACTTTTCACAGATTCCACTTGTTATACATTTCTCCGCTCCCATCTACTCCGAGGTATTATCATCGTTGTACTGGCATCGTTGATTGCTGCAGTGGCTGTTCCTGTCATCTATTTTACTGCCAAATCCGATATCCATCCGGTATGTTGCCTTTCCATTATTTAATATACGTCGGTAAAGTTAAGACATTACAGTAAATTGAGGGGCGTCGGTGGCGCAACGGACTCGGAACCGAGAGGTCCCGGGTTCGATACTCACCGTGGCCCGACGTTGTGCCCTTGGGAAAGGTACTTTACACGACTTCCCCACCGGTACCTGTACGATGGAGTGACGCCCAACGAGCCTCTTAGACTAATCTTAACTCCTTACGGATTTGGTGCGCCGATGTGACAACATATATTTGCCACCAAGAGCCGTTAATTTTTTTACAGTAAACTTTGAAAAGTGTATCCAGTTGTTAATCCTTTTCTTGTGTCCCTCTCTGATGTTCTAACTTCTAGTCACAAACCACACTGCCCGTGTTAGGGGTGACAACCAACACAACAATGGTGACAACCACGCCATCACTAGTGACAGACACAGCGCTAGCCGTGACAACCACACTATCGGAGGCGACAACCAACATGGCAGTGGTGACAACCACGCCGCCAGTCGTGACAACCACGCCGCCAGTCGTGACAACCACGCCGTCAGTCGTGACAACCACGCCGCCATCAGTCGTGACAACCACGCCGTCAGTCGTGACAACCACGCCGCTCAGTCGTGACAACCACGCCGCCAGTACTGACAACCCCACCGTCAAGCGAAGGTATGAGATCGTGGAACTCTAACATGTATTACCTCATTCAAACGCAATTTGAATTCGATACACTTACACTTACACATACACATATTATGTTCTGTGCAGCTGACCTAGTCGGACTGTGGCCTCTAAACTCACAGTACGGAGCATCAGACACAACAGGAAACGGAAATGACGGAGTAGCAAGAGCAACCAAGTTAGCCCCTGGCCCATATGGAGACCCTAACGGCGCATTCCTGTTTTCGGGGACTGCAAATTCCTACTTAGACATTCCCAACAATGGCAAGCTGGATGTGAAGTACTCCTACACCATACTGGCCCACATATATCCTACAGGTTGGGCCGGGCCAGTCTTCAACTACGTCGGGACTCACAATCAATGGGCGGTACATCTTTGGCAAACAGCTCCACAGGAATTGTTCATGAGGTAAGTTTATAGCCTGGTATCCAGTTGAACCATCAGGCTGTCTCCAGACTGATACCACATTGTTCATGAGGTAAGTTTATAGCCTCGTACCCAGACCGTATCCAGGCTGTTACTTCATTGTTCATGAGGTACGTTTATTGCCTGGTATCCAGACTGTTACCTCAATGTTCATGAGGTAAGTTTATAGCCTGGTTTCCAGACTGTATCCAGACTGTTACCTCATTGTTCATGAAGTAAGTTTATAGCCTGGTATCCAGGCTGCATCCAGACTGTTACTTCATTGTTCATGAAGTGAGTTTATAGCCTGGTATCCAGCGCCGGATCATCAGGCTGGTTCCAGATTGTTACCTCATTGACAATATTCATGAGGTACGTTTATAGCCTGGTATCCAGCCGGAGCATCAGGCTGTATTCAGACTGTTACCTCATTGTTCATGAGGTAAGTTTATATCCTGGTATCCAGACTGTATCCCGACTGTTACCTCATTGTCCATGATGTACGTTTATAGCCTGGTATTCAACCAGAGCATCAGGCTGTATTCAGACTGTTACCTCATTGTTCATGAGGTAAGTTTACAGCTTGGTACCCAGCCAGAGTATCAGGCTGTATTTAGACGGTTACCTCATTGTTCATGAGGTAAGTTTATAGCCTGGTCTCCAGACTGTATCCCGACTGTTACTTCATTGTTCATGAGGTACGTTTATTGCCTGGTATCCAGACTGTTACCTCAATGTTCATGAGGTAAGTTTATAGCCTGGTTTCCAGACTGTATCCAGACTGTTACCTCATTGTTCATCAAGTAAGTTTATAGCCTGGTATCCAGCCGGATCATCAGGCTGGTTCCAGATTGTTACCTCATTGACAATATTCATGAGGTACGTTTATAGCCTGGTATCCAGCCGGAGCATCAGGCTGCCTCCAGATTGTTACCTCATTGTTCACGAGGTAAGTTTTTAGCCTGGTATCAAGTGTCGTCTTTTTACAAATTTGCTCTCCTTTTCTTTAGTGTTGCCAACTAGAAGATTGTAACAAAACAGCTAATATCTATTGCAGGACGGTCGGACGAGATGGATTTTTCCCAAGGTTCGTCATTGCGAAAGTGCTGCAGCAGAACGCTTGGAACTACGTTGGCGGAACCTACGACAGTTCCAAGAGGGTTGCAACTCTCTGGAACAACGGTCAAGCGGTCGGAGAGAAGATTATCTGTAAAGTCCCGTCGGTTGCCACTCAGTACCCCATCCGGGTTGCGGTGAGGGACGGAGACGGTCGGTACTTCGCTGGCCGGATAGCTTGTATCCAGCTGTACGACTACGCCATGACTCAAGAACCGATCAACGCGGCAAGGGACAGGTGTTGGCGTAGAGGTTTTTAATGTTATATGATATGATATGATATGATATGATATGAATCTTTATCGCATGTTCATGCCCAGATGGGCTAAATGCACAAGAGTACATGCGGTATGCAAAACATGAGTATTGCATACTGGAACGCTATATTCTAATGCTAATTGCTAGGAATTTATACATTATAACAATACTACATACTACCTATCATCTACTGTTAGTTGCCCTTTCTTCTCTCTTTTTGAAACATTTGGAAATATAATTGTATAGTTTGTCTGCTATACATTCGTTCTTGCATGACATCAAGTGTTTAAACGCGTCCTGCTTTGACATTTTCTTGCATATCTTGTCTTATTGTAAAATATCGAATAGTTCTTGGCGTTCATCTTACAATGTACAGTCAAGTAGAAAGAGTATCTCGTTTCTAACATATAAATTATTACAGAATTCGCACGTTCTATCTTTCAGAGGGGTACGGCTATGCCTGCCGGATTCTATACGTAAGGGATGGTCACTAATGCGAAGTTTACACATGGCTCTGCGATGTTCGAAGTTTGCAATGTTTAAATGTGTTTCTCTTTCATTAATCTCTTTGAATGTTTTGTATGTCCTTATATATAAAGGATTGTATACATGTACATCTGCCTGTCTTCTCCATTGTAATTTGAATTTTTTTGTACGCTAACTCTTTGCAATTTCAGGGAGTCTCATCCTTGCTGTAAGGTTTGCTTTTTCAGTGTCACTAATAAAGATCATAAAGATATTTTGCAAAAAAATTATCACATGTGGTAAAATGTACAAATCAAATTGCAACTGCATTATGTTGGTTACAACAAAAAATTCTTGTACTGACTGTTAACTCCGTAAACAGAGATATTGTTATTGTTTCATGTCTCAGTACAGAATGATATTAAGTTAATGTCTGAGGTGTTAAACATTATGTTATTTCCTGACTTTCTGCTATTGCCTGTTGCCTTGTATACGTGAGCTATTTAAAAAGTACTACTTAATATGTTAAACTAGTAAATAGTAGGATCCCCCTCAAAGTTCAAAGGAGGATAAAGAACAAAGAACTAGTTAGTAATTATTTGGAAAAGTACAGATCGTTCTTCCTCTGATTACTTTTTTACAGCCCTACGGTCTACATAGTACAGTCTAAAATTCTGGTGACTTACCTAATTAGGAGATGCAGACCTTTCACAATCTATCTTACATTAGATAAAAAAAACAAGAGTTACCTTCGCCAAATGATATTAACCATTCCGATGGACAAATTATACCATTCTAATCATTGGCTTAAGTAGGTAAACAAGAAATGATACCTATATTATTGTGCTAAGTTCACTGTCAACTATCACAACATTCATTTCTTACTGAAACAAATTTGAAAAATTAAACGTTTTAGTAATTGTACAAACTGTCTTTATTCAGTGCGAACATCACATATACACAGCCATCATGACATATAAAACAGAAAACAGTAAATCAGAGCCTTGTCTCCTCTCTTGATACTCATCTGCCATCCATGCGCCGGCATGGCAACAGACATCTTTGCCCATTTTCGGCATGTTGACCACTGTCAGAGGGCAAAAAAATTCTTGTTTTCCCCCAAAACCAGGTGAAAATCAATGCGCGCTGATACATGTTGTGGCCTAATGCCTCATAACATTACGTCACCTCGTGACCCCTAACCCCTGCGCCATTTTGTTTTCGTCTGTTTACTCTCATCAAGCCCAATTATGTGCACGGTTTCTAACTATTGATGCCGTGCAGTGTATTCTTGTAAAGGGTCCACCCTCCATTGTACGAGTTGATTAAAAATTAATATTGCATACTCACTTTGTTACAGGTAATGCTCTTCCCTGGTAAGAATAATCCTTACATGCGATAACAATAATGAAAGATAATCACGCAACGTTGGGTCGGAGCGCGAGCTCGGCAACTGTTATACCTCTTATACACAGTTATCTTGGCCAAACATTCACCCTATTCTGACGAATTCTACAATTCATAACCTCTTAGGTAGATCTTATTCACTAGCTAATTTGGAACACTTGCGAACGTTGAAAATCTCATTCGGTGACAAATTGAAAGTTTGGTACCTGTTTATCATATATAAGCATATTGGTTTTAGATATTCTTTTGTATGTGAAGTCCTTGAGTCGTGGGCGACTCTATTGCTTGCTGCATTAGTGGCGAAGATAATTGCTCAAATTGCCTGCGCCTGAAATATCTGTCACAATTGTCAGTTCATCACAACTGCCATTTTGTTCAGAGCTTGAAACACAGCTAGGCCTGGATTACAATGTTGTAGCGCCTTTAGTGTCAGCTTCTGGATGATAACTTCCAAGATGGGTTGTAGCGGACGGTCGGTCGTCTGCAGTCTCCTTGTCAGCCTTCTCTGCGTTTTGCCAGCAATGTTCAACGGTGTGTGGTCTCATTGTTAGCATGCCATGCTATCAAACTAATGTTGGTGAAAAAACTATATAGCACATATTGATACACATGCCCGAAACACTGTAGTATTTTCTTCTTAACTGTTGCCAGGAAACTGTCAAGAGGGCCTTGGAAAGAGTAGATGCGTTATCTGACTTCTTTGTTTCTAATGTTTGTCCAGTGAACCCGTAGCAGTCTGAATCTCAAATGTGTTGATTCTCTTCGCAATTGCTACGTTTAGGGCACGGTCACATTTCCAAGCCGGGGCCCGGCCGGGCTGTTTCAATTAACGAAAAATCAACAATTTATATCAATGATATACGCAAGTAGTTCCCAAGGTTAATTTTCTAAAACTTTTTTTGTGTTTTGCTGTCTTATATTATAATTTTCGTTTCATACGACTGCCCGGCCGGGCCCCGAGTTTGGAAATGTGACCGCGCCTTTAGGGTCCATGTCTCAGCACCATACAGTAAATTGATAGCATGAGACAACATTGTAAACGGATCTTTGTTCACATGGAAATATCATAACTACACCAGATGTGTTTTAGTTTTGACAGTGCAAGGGCTGACGTGGCAATCCTGACTTTCACCTCTTTGACTAAGCTGCAGTCTTCTGTGAGGGGCAAAGCCAAAAAGCCAAATGAGTTGTACAAAATCATAAAAGCCCATTTTCACATTTTTATAGCATTCAAAATGTTGTGTTATGGCATGTTTGCAGGCACAACTTCAGGCCAATCGTACCGGGGCTGTTTCCAGGACGGCATCTCCCGTAAGTTTCCACACGCCCAAATGGATTCCTCTGAGATGACGAACGAGATGTGTATCTCTCACTGCAAAACTAAATGCTTCCTCTATGCAGGTCAGTGCATACGATGTTTCAATGTACCTGTTGATTGTTCAATCATACAACTGGTTTGCATGACTTTAGTGTGATAGTGACTAGCAAGCTACCGATTACCAAGCAGAACTAATTATAAGAATGTCTAAATACAAACTAAAACATGCATTGTCCCAGATTCCTGCTATAGATCGTGAGAACCCTATACATAGGGTAGGTGACTTAAACTATGCTACTTATTGTTACCTATTTGCCATACAATGTACCCTGTACAATTGTCGTGCAATAAAGTTCTTCTTCTTAAACTCAGCAGGTTTTAGACAAACACTCACACAGTACCCCTTCTTCTTCCACGCAAGTTAATACATTGCTTACGGCGGTTATTGTCGAGAAAGAGATGAGGTTTACAGTCTGCCCTGCTTAAGCGCAGTTTCCGTTAACATTTATCATCATATTTTCTCAACAGCGACCCAATCTTCATTCCAATGCTTCTGTGGGACCCAGGACAACTTTGACGCTCTGGGAAGTCCACTTGGGACTTCTTACTGTCGCATTTCTTGCTCAGGAGATACCAACTCGTACTGCGGGGGATACTGGAGATTGTCCGTGTTTAGCACTGAAGGTATGGACTTCCCCTTTCCACCTGCATGAAAAATGGAGGTATTGTTTTTGGTCTGTCTGTGCTTGTGGGTGTGTTTGGGCATATCTGTGTTTAATTTAGATGAAGAAGACCAGATAAAGAATTTGGAAGTGTCGATTTTGCTAGATGGGACTTTGGAATTCTTGCAACTTGATGTTTAGATGTTTTTGGATAGAAGCAATTTTAAAATGGTCTTTTTCTGCAAAAGGTAGAGAACAGTACGGATGGATTGGATGAATATACACCTTGAGATAACTATGTAATATTATCTAATACAGAAGGTTTTGTTTCCTTTTTCGCTACAGACACATTCCAGCACGTCTGTGAGGCTCCTCCCCCGAGACCAGAACACACCGTGGAACCTCGGTGCAAATGTCTGTACCAATCATCAGGGAACAGCCTATGTGTACAGACCTACATGTATGAATACATCCCAGGATTCCATGAGGTTTCTGGGGATGCCAACAGGACATGCAGTTCACAAGGCGACTGGACGGGATCGGCTTTAGTGTGTGAAGGTAAAGCACATAATGGCTGATTGACACACATGCACTTATTCGATCATTTACTGTCACATCCAAGCACACGTAAACACAAACGCACACGCACGCACGCACACACACGCACACACACACACACACACACACACACAAACACACACACACACATGTACAGACACACACACACACTCTCTCTCTCTCTCTCTCACACACACACACACACACACACACATACACACACACACACACACACACACACAAAATCACACACACACACACACACACACTGATCAAGCAAATATACAATTTAAAGAAGGTTGCATTACGATTGTGTATCCCACGTTTTACCACAGCCATATATAACCTAATATCTGTTTACTTGACTATTACAGACATGGATGAATGCACCACTGATAACGGAGAGTGTGACCAGATCTGCATCAACACAATGGGAAGTTACAGCTGTTCGTGTCGGGACGGATTCACATTGAAGGCGGATAACCGAGGATGTGAAGGTAAGTTTTTTTCACTTTATGGTTCACCACAAAGCAAGGCTCATGAGAGCCACTCAAATGCTTTGTGTTACTGTACAACCAGATGTTTGTTGACCTTAGACTTGAATAGTTTAAGGTTATACCCATGTGGGAAACAATCACCCTGTAGCTTGTTCCATAGTGATGTTGTTCTAGTAAAGAAGCTTTCAGCGTGGAACTTCCTCCTAAGAGGTGGCGAATGAAGGAAGGAAGGGTGATTTGATTCAGTGGAAGTGGCAAGACGTGTCCTTGCTGAGAATGTTTGAAGTGGGGGCACTATAATGTACTAGTGAAGTTCTGCGGAGCATTTACCGTAAGACGGGTTTTGTGATGTTCAATGATACTGCATAATCTCTTCGGGGTTGTTCATATTACTATAACTCGAATTTATTTGTTTTTCTGCCGTTTAAGACGTGGATGAGTGTGAACATGATAATGACCCCTGCGACCATCAATGTGACAACACGATGGGAAGTTACACCTGTTCCTGTAATGATGGGTATTACTTGGATGCGGATGGGCATAATTGTACAGGTAAGTAATTTCCCCCCTTTACTTTACCTTTCAATTGGAAAAATCATTTGTATATTTTTTCTGCCATGATTACTTCCTTATAAGTATACGATAATTTTCTTTGTTGTCAATGATGTTAACAGCAGTTTTATAAAGTTTATCATTATCAACAGATCACTTAATATTGTTTTCTGGTGATCAATTAAATTAAGCGAGAAGTTGAATTTATGTAATGATAGCTAGTTTTATTATGTATACATCTTTTCATCATGTCTTGTTTTGACCTGTACTTAGCCAAGTGTGGCAAAAAATGTGCAATAAAGGTCGTCATTCATTCATTAAATATTGACATGCAAATAATTGGGGCATCAAAAAGAAGAGTGATGCTATCGTGTTTTATTCTTTTATGCTAGCTTTGAACTAGTTTTCTTATGCTAAACGGTTGATCTAATTTTGTTACACAGAGATACAGCCGTGGTCAGCTTGGGGCTCCTGGTCCAACTGTAGCGTTGGTTGTGGACTGGGTCGGCAGGGGAGGAGTCGTGAGTGTCCCAACCAACCGGACAGCTCCGGAAATAACCACTGCCCTGGGCAATCCACAGACGGTCAGCTGTGCTTTGAAGTTCAACTCTGCACAGGTCAGTTCTTCATCGACACATGATCAATATAAACTTTATTGCACAACAATTGTCTAAGGTACAAAGTATGGCATCTATCACTCCACCTTACAAACACTGAATAGATGCTCATGTCTGTTAATAAATTATTCATTCCCATCACGGCATCAGTACGAAGAGCAATTATGTCATAATTAAGCAATACGTTTCTCTATTCAAGTAAACTATGACATATTCTAACTTATTTCTTATTTGTATCTTTCTACAGGACCCATGGACTTCCAATATATCCATGTAAGCATAATAAGAACATCTTAATTTTTTTAAGTATACATTCATATATTCGTTTTATACTTTCATTCTGTTCAAAGAAGTTGATAATTTCATTCTATCGAAGAATTCAAACATACTCCAGAAATAGAGTATATAAATTACATCTTGCTCAGGTTAACTGTTGTGTAAAGGGTTATGAAATGGCAAATATCATACCATTGTTATTTCTATGTACCTACATGTACCTTTGAGTGTCTACAGTTGTAGAAGACATTACAAATTACCTTTAATACTCTCTTTAACAAAGCCCAGACACAATTCCTGTCTATTTAAACCGATAAATGAAATTACGACTTCATAGTTTCAACATTCTAGACATACAATTCAGCATTACAATTTTATAATTTGAAATTTGTACAGCTTAGAAAAATCTATGTGTAGATTGTAAATGTATTTATGTAGTAGACCTACACTAAGTTTTACAATAAACTTTGACTTGTTACAATATCATATGTTATTTTTATAGCATGACTTTGACTTAATTGGGATCCACACTTAGCTTACAAAAAATTGTATTGCAGTCGAGTATTCTTCCTGTGGACTTCAAGAGACAAAAATGACACACTTTTACAAAATATAAATACATTGACAACAATTACAGCATATTAACACAGATTAATATTTTTATAGCACTGTCTTTACTTTTGTGCATCTACACTGTTGTATACCTTGTAAACGTCCCTGTTTACAATTGACATGTTATGCTGAGGTCACATTTCCAAACCGGGGCCCGGCCGGGCAGTTTCAATTAATGAAAAATCAACACTTTTTATCACGAATATATGCAGATAGTTTCATTATTAATCTTTTCAACTTTTTTTTGTGCTTTGTTGTCTTTTATATCATATTTTTCGTTCCCTAAGACTGCCCGACCGGGCCCCATTTCGGAAATGTGACCTTAGCATAAATTGTGTTTCAGGGGTTGCTGAACCCGACAGACGACCCAAACGGCACACACACGTGGCTGGAGGCGAGGAGACTACAGAAAGCCGAGTTATTTCTGCCGGAGTATGATAGGAGCACCTTCTTAACGGACATGGAAGGTATATTTTACATCCAGTACTAGGTTAGCTTAGGAATTTTCTGTATAACACTACTCATCAAGTCATTTCTATGTTACTTTCCATGATGCATAATTGTTTTATTACCTCCTGGGTAAAAAAAAACACTAATTCGATTGTAAAAACCAAGGATAATTGAACATATTCAAATTGTATACATGTTTAAAATGATGCAACTATATGTTTTAACTAAGCAAGTGTTGTGTTACCATTTTATTCGTAAGAAGGTTGGCCTTATAAACAACAAAAATCATGCAACCTTGCAACCTGAGACAAACCGATATACAATTACAATTATTATAGATAAATTTGCACATTTGGCTTCAATGATTTTATATCTCGTCTGGATTCAACAATGATTTTTGCTAGAGTTGCCGCAAACAAGCTTCATGAATTGTTTATTTACCCAAAGATATTTTTCTCACGAGTTTGTATTCCCTTTTTAATACTAGGTGGCGGATTTGACATCGCTGTTTCAGCCTACCTTCGTCATGTCGGTCAGCTTTCCGACAAACATGCGGTATTTGTCATTGCTTTGACACTACATTTCAATATGCTGTGATATGTATACTTGTAGACAACATTGATGCTTTAACGCAGTTGATTATGGCTGCTTTACCCTTATAATTACTTATGTGTCATCACATTGTAACTAATTCGATACTAGGTCGCCTCTATCATTCCAGATAATCTTGGTATTGGATTTGCTTCTTTATCTTCTTATGACAGTTTAACTAACGATACTACATGTATATCACCTATATCATGCTAAATAACCTTAATGTTTTAGACATCCGTGGTGTTGGATTTTAGATTACTACATGGTCTTGTACAACTTACGAAACTCACGTAAGTTGTATAATATTCCTTCTAATATTTTCCGATAGTATGGTCGTGACTTATGCCTGTTGTTTCTCGCCATCCCAGAACATGTCCGTGACGATTGAGTACGTGTTCTCCTGGTTCAACACGACGCTGAGCGGACTGACCGACGGCTGGGTCCCGGCCCCTGACAGCCTGGTCTCGCCGCCGCCGCTGGCGTTTGGCACCACGGTACGTCAGGCCGCTGCCGTGGACGACGAGGCGTCATCGAGGTGGCTGAACGAGGAAGGGCTGGTCGTGTACAAAATGACGTAAGTTGAGGAGCTACGTAGGTAGCTAACAACTAGGTAATCAAGCATGTCCTCGTGTACTAAACGAAAGTTCCTTTTGTCGACTTATCAGTATCATGATGTCTAATTCCACTGTGGTGCTTGCACACATAGTATGCTACTCACACAATACTGCTTACACGATGCCGCTTACACCATGCTGCTTACACGATTCGGCTTACACGATGCTGCTTACACGATGCGGCTTATCACCATGCTGCTTACACGATGCCGCTTACACCATGCTGCTCACACGATGCCGCTTACACAATGCTGCTTACACGATGCCGCTTACACCATGCTGCTTACACGATGCGGCTTATCACCATGCTGCTTACACGATGCCGCTTACACCATGCTGCTTACACGATGCGGCTTACACCATGCTTGCTTACACGATGCGGCTTACACCATGCTGCTTACACGATGTCGCTTACACCATGCTGCTTACACGATGCGGCTTACACCATGCTGCTTACACGATGCGGCTTACACCATGCTGCTTACACGATGCCGCTTACACCATGCTGCTTACACTACGCTACTTACACCATGCTGCTTACACTACGCTACACTATGATGCTTACAGTCATAGCTTCTTTTATTTTTTAGGCGGAAGTTCAAGGTGTCGTGTTCAGTATCGCTGAAGAACTACCCGTTCGACACCCAGACCTGCGTTGTGCAGCTTCGCGGATGTAAGTTATAATTAAGTAATCTTTGCATAAGCTGGTTTCCGTTAGATCCAAAGGCGTGTGTGACAGGGCTAATCAGCAAAAAAAGCACACTTTTTCCCATTTCAAAATTGGTCCACTTTTTCGCCCCTAGGAATACACAGTTTGGGTATTGTGTACAAGAAGATATTAATTTGTAATTCCTTTTCAGGGCCTAAGCTTTGGACTGTACAATCTGTTTATCTTTTTTTTCTGTGTTTTCTGTGACAATTCCCAAACTTGCATTGAAATTTATTGTAATATACATGTATATACACATGTATTGTAAAATATGTACTGTGTTATAAGACCACCAGGCAACACTGCTGCAATGAACTCAAACAAAGCTGTATTGTTAACACAGACGGTGGAGCTAGACTGCGGCTTCTGCCACTGGATGACGTCACGTTGGCCGCGATCAAGACAGACGCGACGGAAGTTGTGTCTCAGTTTGAGCTGACTGGAGTGGAGATCCAGGGCGCCTTCCACTCCTTCATGTCCAACACTAAAGGTGACGGTATTATTATTGGGAGGGAGTTAACTATATATGAGATCATCATAAAAGTTCATCTGTGTTGGTAGTAATCATAGTAAAAGGTTGAACTTTATTCCAACACACAATTGTACAGGGATCAAATTTTCAGCGACCACTGTCGCCTTCATCAGGATAATTAATGACCAATCACTTCACAACGTGATCTCGCGAGAGTTACGGTTTACAAACACGTGACCTTATTCACACGAGATTCACGTTGTGAAGTGATTGGTCATTAATTATTCTGATGAAGGCGACAGTGGTCGCTGAAAATTTGATCCCTGTACAATTGTGTGTTGGAATAAATTTCAACCTTTTACTATATATGCGATCACTTTTTGTTGGGTTGGAACTATGTAAAATACTTCTCCATTGCAATATTATATTTACCTTTGTAGTATACAGATGAAAAGGCATGATCATATGTGTAACATATGATTCTTCACGGATTCACTACACTTTGGTATGTATCAAAACCCCGACACGCTAGTATACATGTTTTGATACGGCAGGCAAATGGCATGGTCAAATATGTTAGTAAAGAGAGAAGAAGCCATTAGAACTTAGATCGATACCACTTTATGTAGTTTTTTTTAGCACCATATACATTAGACCTGATGTTAGCCTTCCTTTATTATTGTTGTATTTTCTTTCTAGTATTGTACTTTGTACATCCATGCATTTATCCTCCCGGGGAATGAACATGCAGTAAAGTTTCACAATTAATTACAAGAGGAAAGAAGATTTTTCTTCTTCTAATGAGACAAAACAAACATCATTATAACTGATCCTCACTTATTACTGCAACTTGTTATTATCTTATTGTTTTAATCAATTGATTTTTCTAATCTTCTAGATGAGTCAAATCAGACATAATTGATCCTTGTACATTAGTATCTCCACCAATGATTTTGTATTGATTTTATCAATTTATCACAGATTGCATCTTCTTCAAGAAGATTTGTGATTACAACATCGACAGATGTCTGTTTGGACATTACGTGGATTGTGACGCAAGCGAGGAATGTCGACAGTGCCGGAGGACAGTAGGAACATGCCGGTCGGAGTTAGACGATTGCCACCACTATCACTCAGGTCAGTCTTTCTGGATGTGAGAAAAACACAACTAAAATTCAGAATCCATTGACAACAACACCTCGTGTATAGAATCTATCTTGTCACTAACACGAACAATACTTTTGCAAAGAAACATTACATATCTGAATGACCTCTGGCCTCCATACCATACTAAGTTATATTGTTACTTGTTTATACGGTCATTTGCCTAGGTTATGGATTGTAGCTATAAGAGATTTCTGTGTTTTGTGACTTCATTGTGCCATGATGTGTGTATGTTTACGTATGTATGTATTTCATAATGTGGGGCCCGACATCAGCTGAAGCTGCCAGAGCCTTCCACAGTATTGCAATGTTGGCAATTTAAATAAAGAAATAAGGGAAGGGATAAAAGTAATGAGCTAAAATAGGACGAGCACCTCACGTGCCAACTATCATTTAAATATGAATAACTTTATTGCACGAGAATTGCACATGGTACAAAGTGTATGGCAAACTACATAAAGAGAGTAACAAATGAAATAAATGTGTTGAATAAGATCTAATATAGAATAAAACCTAACATATCTTAATTATTCAAATCATAACCTGAATGTCTAACCTTCGTCGACGTAAAACGTTGCCTTGTTTTTCTGCCTATATGAAGATTCCAACGGCTACACCACGATAGACGTCCTGGTGCACCTTCGTCGGCGGCTGATGAGCTCCGTACTGCGGGTGTTCCTGCCGTCTGTCACGGTGGTCGTGTCGGCCTACCTGCAGCTGTGGATGCCGCTGCGCCTGTCTGACATCACAGGCAGGTTCAGCCTGGCCGTCACCACGTACCTGGCCATGATCTACCAGAGCAGCAGCGTGCGGATGCCGTGGGTAAGGGCTGTGTTGTACCCAGAACAGTACTTTAACTAAAGCCAGGCTTGAGCACGACTCTGGATAGTCCACGAGTATCCAGAACCGTTCCTGGGGCACTTCAACGTTCTTGGACACTACCCAAATTATCAAAAACCGTAACTGATCACATTACCCTAAATCAAACGTAGAACTAGTTAGATAGGCACGGCTCTGGATATGATACGGTTGCTCTGTCTGTTTGTTTGTTTGTTTATCGGAATTTTTAATATGGCAGAGGAGTTGTCAGCCCTGGGCTACTTTCAAACTTCCCTTTTGTGGTAGAGAACCCACCCCTACATAAAGTAAACATCGTAAAGTAAACTACATTCGTTTTACTTCCTGTTTCGACTTGAAAAGTGTGTAAAGCAGTGGACTAACAGGAAGGCATGTGTTCTTTACAGATATCAGAAGCCAGAGCAGTAGACATCTGGTTCGGAGGATGCCAGGCTCTCATCACGCTGATGATGTTGGAGACAGGACTGGTCCATTTCATCTACTCCCGTCGCCTGAAGAAGGTATTAGAACTAATTCAATGTCTTTCTATTGATTGAAATGACTTCGAAATAAACACCCTGCGAAAACATGTGAATAAGGAAGATGTCAACAAGTTTTTTTCTTTACATTGTCATCTACATGTTATCTTCGGTCGATGATAATATATTATTCATAGTTTCATTTCTTCATATTATAGTTAATTGCAACGTCAAGGTCTTACCATCGCAAATGTACATGTACCTGTGGTGTACAAATATAATGGACACAAATAAAAGTCCAATATTGACTTGCAGATGATTACATCGACCGCATCTAACATGTTAATTTGCTGCACTTACAAAGTTGAGATATTTCCGATGTGTCTGTTACACACAGGAGGAGAAGAAGGTCCGGAAGCAGCAGGAGAACCCTCCGATCAGGATCCCCCGCCCGGGGTACTCCACCGCCCCTGCCAGCAGCCTGGAGGAGCTGTTCGGACGCCGCTGTCCCGAGGGTGCTGTCCGAGTCAGCGCCTTCGATAGAATCAGCAGGCCGTTCAAGATCCCCAGGCCGAAGCTGAAGGACCCGGGGAACATCATGTGGCACCGCCTGCCGGACCAGAAGTGGATCGTCATCCCCCGGCCCGAGGACAAAGACGCGGCGGATAGTCCAGAACCGGCGGCGCCAAAGGACAAGGGGCAGAAGAAGGCCAATGAGCTTAAGAAGTCCGACAAGAAGGCCAAGAAGGAAGATCGGCGATCTAAGACCCAGCGTCCTGAGTCAATCCCGCTGCAGAAGTTGGACCGGGAGTCCTCGGAAATGAACCTGAGGAGACGGCGGCAGCCAGTCCGTAACCCGGGCGAAGATCTGGTGCACGTCGGGTGGGAGCTGGCCGCAGGAGGAGGAGGCTGGAAGTCCGTGTACGGCACCGAGGAGATGGCTGACGACATCGCCAAGTCCTGCAAACCCATCCCCAGGGCCAATACCGTATACCGGCTCCGCGGAGAGTGCGATCCGGACAGCCCGGTGGTCACGGTCCCGATACCCGCGGAGTTCACTTCGTACGCCTTCCCCCCTTCCATCATCGACCCGGAGGAAGAGGCAGAGAAGCTGGAGAAGATAGAGGCTGTGACGGCCAGGATTGACCGGGTGGCCAGGATTGTGTTTCCTGTTGTCTTTGTGGCTTTCGGTATTGGCTTTTTCCTCCACTTTTACTGTACTTACTAGATCGCGTAGGGATTTATTTTTATGTTCGTACCTTGATGTTGATACACTTTTGTACACTTTTACTAGGTATGATAGGCCGTACCTTTCGCCTGCAAAATGTCATCTTTGGCAGTGTTAAAATGTTCTATTCGTTTTGTGAGTATTCTTTTCAAATGAACTGATTTATTTCCACGAAAACAAGTTGCATGTTGTCATCATGAATGTCTACTGATAACAGTCTGGACATCTGTATTATGTATTATGGGCAATAATTACAAATTTGTAATTTTAGACAGATGTGTGTCATTATACATACTTACTAAATACAACAATTTCAGCAATGTTAGCCCGGTAGGAATCTGAGACTAGGTCGTTTAATTGTTTGTTGTAATATCGTAATAGATGAATCATAATAAAAGGACAGCATGTTTCTGTTGACATTGTTGACATGATTTCGTCATTGTGTTGGCTGCCTTGTAAAATAGATTTTATTTATCACACTCACCTATGACCGCTCTATGTGATTAGTTAATCACGATCACAAACACAAACAAACACCTGTGTCTTCCAGTTTTCAACATATTCGTGCAGTTATCTCATTTCTGACATTAATGGTTTAACATTAAATCTGCCCACAGGAGGCGCAAAAATTTTGTGGCGGCACATAAAACAACCAGTATGTAAAAAAAACACAATATTTATGGATAAAGCACACATATACCATTACATCCAAACGTACTAGTTCATTGCCAGTGAGACAAGTAAAAATAGTCAAGAAAAGAAGTCAAGGAAATGAAGCAAAAGTGCTGGCAGCGGTGGGATTCGAACCCACGCCATCGAAATGACTGGTGCCTTAAACCAGCGCCTTAGACCGCTCGGCCACGCTACCTACATGACATTTTATCGAAATGTGTTAGAGTCTCAAACAAGTATCCCAGCGCCACAGACTAGTTCTAAAACCGGACTTTAACCAGAACTCAAACCGAGAGGGAAAAGTGCCAATAATGCAAATAAAGAAGAAAAATAGAGTTCCACGATTCTATACCTTCATCAAACGATGTTATCCACAACTGAAAAAATCATAAATGTTAATTTTTTTATTGGTATGACTTGGCCGAGGATTGAACCCTTGACCTACCGAATGCAAGGCGAGCACTCTACCCAACTTGGTCACTGGGACTGTGATTCTAAAAAAAAGTACCTGCCTATACAAGTGCTCTTTACTGATAATATAAAAAAAGCAATGACAATATAGGATTCATATGCATGGCGTTTATTGTGATTTTCTGTCACAAGACAGTCTACGATTAAGCGAAGGCCCAGAACGTGTCTGGGGCGTCATCACGAGCACAGCGCGAAGGCGTGGACAACTGCCGGGTGCAGAGTTCAGGTAACCTGCAGACGCCAGTGGCGTGGCCATCAACTGAAAACAAGGGAACAACAAAAACGTTAGGAAGACAGAGGCAATGCAAAAGTTACTTAATGATTGATCTCTCTTTCAATCGAATGCGCAGTATGCATGACAGTGTACGTATGTGTTGATGCCACATATTTATTCCATGTGATACATGCTAGCCTGGGTGCCTACCGCGAAAGAGTGATGACCCCCTTCGGCCAGGGAAGCCATACGCCCCGCCAAACCCGATTTGGCACTCCGGCTCTTCGCGTCGTGAAGGGTTTGGTGC